GAAGTTTGCAGAGGATTACCGAAGATTCTGATGAGTGAGTTGATGACACTGTGCAAGCCTGAGGCGTGTACTGGAAATATGCTTATTATCAGAGGCGTCATGCCCATTCAAAGTGAGGGGGTTGCACAGATTTTTTTTGTCAGATTTTTGAGCAAAGTGGATTTTGAATGCAGCTTCCAAAAGACAAAAATAGCCGATTAATATTTTCTATATTTAATACAATCACACCGGCGTGATTATAATGTTCAGTAAGTCATATCAGCTGTTAAATTCAAATCTGCTGGTGCTGAGCCAGATACAGACGCGTTTTTACAGCACTGTGCATTAACCAATTACACACGATGCTGTTGAGCTTATGAAGGCAATGACCAATCAGAGGTGTTCAGATGAGTCATCGCTAAAATGCCAGTGTTTTCTTCACTCGCTCGCTGCCTGAATACCTCTTTCTGGCGAATTCTCTCGTGCATCAATGTCTGCAATGTGTGCTGTAGGTGTGAAACTTTTAGGAATCTTATCCAAGTTGTAGGCTAGTCAATATTGGTCAGTCAGTATCTGACAAAGATACTGCGAATGAAACTGTGACCACAAACACCATTTACTTAAGTGAATTATATGGTAATAATCAGCAATATGCTTTCACACAAATAACTTTATTTTTTGAATGTTTCAATATGTGTTGACACAAATAACTTATTTGAATTTTTCATTGATACAACATTGCACTGAGTTGCTAGAAAAGAAATGCGTAGAGATGTTATTGCTTGACGTCAGGAACTGATGAATCGGCTTTTTGAGCCAGTTCAATGAACCAATCTGTCCGAAAAGAACCAGTTTGCGGAAATGAATCGGACTTTGCATCACTACTCTTTAATGAAACCAAAATAACAGGGAACACACACGTAGCACATGGGGTAGACATTTGAGGCTGAACGCAGGACTCAGGAAAACACAGGGCTAAAACAGGAACTAAATGGGGAACACCTGGAACTAAACGAGGAGATTAATAGGACACAGCTGAAACAAATGGAACAAACGGAAACGGGAACAGGAAAACCAAATATGGGCACAAACACGGGAGAAACTGGGTCAAGGAGAGAAAATGAGGAACAAAACACAAGACTGTCCATGGGCGTGACAACAACTTTAGGACCCGGCACATGGTTGAACATACCAGCCTCCGAGGCTCCAAACAACCAAACATTGACTCATGCTGTAACATGTTCTGGGTGTTCAGCTGTAAACTCTATTACACAAATGAATGTGCCATTTGAAAAGGAAGTAAAGCTTTTATGTAAAGAATAGCAATGAGATCACAACAATCTGGATAATGAGAAAATTCTTAAGAGTTCCTTTTATAGCCATGCAGTTGTGTGGAAGTCTGTAAAAAACCAACCTGGGAGGAAGGGAAGAAAATGCACCTGTTATTTTCATGCTCAACAGGGCCCTAGCCTACTGACTAACAAAGTCAACAAACAGACTCCTTGTGCAGCGCGGGAGCGACCATGACAGGACCCATGACAGGAGTAAAACACGGGACTATTGGATCTTGTGTTAGCAAAAAGCCAAGGGCAGAGTTTAGGATCTCCAAGTATGAGGATATCCTAAGATATTCCCTGCTATCTCCAGCGGAACAGCTGAATCTGAAAAAAAAAACAATGTTTCTAAAATGGTCATGATAACAGAGACTCCAGCACTGCGATATCTGGAGACGCTGGAATATATAAACAAAGGACAGATGTAAAATATGAGGTGAGATGAGAGAGGAAAGAATGGCAGTGTCACTAGCTTGGCAAACAATTTTAGAGCTGGTCAACTTCCCATAAATACTCCCCTGCAGTAATTTAACCGAGCATGTGTTATATATAGACTTCTGTAAACTGGTTTTACAGAATTCTGTAAATTGGTTTGGTGGCTTGGTCTTATGAAAATATTTAAGTTTTAAGTCTATTTTCAAACACTGGACTTCAATTCTGAAACCAAGTCCTCTTCAGCAATGGTGTGAAAGAGACTTTAGCTTAAAGTAATAGCTGTCCAATCTTCATAAAATAAAATAAAATAAATAATTTACTTGCCCTCACAATATTCCAAATCTATATGACCTTCTTTCTTATGCGGAACACAAAATAATATATTTTGAAAAATATTAGTAACCAAACTAATATCTCCAAACTATATCAAACTATATTTCTCCAAATATCATTTTTTATTACGTGGCGCTCTGAAATGCTTGATTCTGATTGGTCAGTTGTGAATAGAGGACTTCAGTATTAATAGCAGGCCTACGGTAATATTGTTGAAGCGTTTGTCTTGTTGCTAGAAGGACTGTTTTGTAATTATGTGGTGCAAAGCTGTAAAATAAGTGATTCGACACTACATTATCACTTAAATGTCCATCTTTTTGAACTTGTTTGTGGAAGTTTTGCGTTTTGAGCTAATAAAATATCTCAACTCAATATATATCGCAAAATAAACCTTGAGAAGGGTGATCAGCGCGAATGTACATTATCCCATTAATTATACAGCTCTTTCTCCCATATAAGTAAACGATTATCCCTTACTTATGTTACACAGAAGAAAATCACACAGAGAACAGGGTGGAGGGTGAGCAAATTATGAGAATTTTCATTTGTGGGTCAACTATCCCTTTAAAATGGCATAAAGTTTAGTCGAGTGATAAATCGGTGCTGAACAGTTTGGAAGCATTACTATAAATCAATAATAAATCAAGAGGATTTACGTTAGTTTTCCACCCTCGTTTTCCTGTTCCACTCTTTTTCAGCACAGAGTCTCGTGGCTTTGGCTGTCCAGACAGAGGCAGTATGGGTACGAGTATGATTCTCCACAAATCATGTACAGTTAATCTCTGTTTGGCTTTTGTATCTCATTCATTTAACATTTCTCTCTTCCCTTATTTTGCTTTCGCTCTCTGTTTAAGTCCTCTCCGATGAGCGTCAGATGGTTTACTTAACATCTGTGTGAGCGCATGTGTGCATATATAAACACAGAGAGTGCAGCATAGGAGGGGGTTTGTGGAAAACCTGGTTAATGGCAAAAAAATGAAAATTCCCCACGCCAAGCGCACAAATAGCAGCTGCTTTCACTGTGCATTCCCACCAGTATGAACTCAAGAGTGTAAACAGAAAAATATGTAACCAGCGAGATATTGCCTGACTCAATGATAACGGTTAACTTATTCTGGTCTGTAATGTCTTTACATACATGCATACATTAATTAATTATGTATATATCAGTTTCAACCATTATTAAGTGAACACCTTCAATTCTAAAAGCTAAGATAGCTCATCCTCACTGATTAAGCCACTTGTTAATTATGCATAAATACAGTTATTTTATTACAAACACTTCTAAATGAATAATTGTAAATAAAAAAAACATTTTACAGTAAAACAGCATTTTACTGGTTTCTTTAAAGACTGTCTTTTTAGTTCCAATAATGTAGTTTGCTAATAACTGCATGACAACATCATACTATATAATCATTTCTTTCTAATTTTTTCAAAGATTTATGATGGCAGCACAAATGTTTTCATGCTGATACATCACAATTAATTTTCTCATAGTTTTGCATTAGTACTTTAGGTCTGTTTAATTTCTGTTCAGATAGTACAGGTTAACCTACATTCGCTCTCAAAAATGGGTTTAAAAAATAAATGTTATATATATATATATATATATAAATTCAGTTTATTTTTTTTAAACCCATTTTTAAGACAAAGTACTGATGCAAACTATGAGAAAAATTATTGAGATGTATCAATTTATGATTGTCCAGCGTGAAAACATTTGTGCTGCCATCATAGATCTTTCCATTTCTGACCATTGGCAGCCTGGAGATGTAACCTATTTTAATAAGACATACTCTTATTACATACATCAGAACAGGAAATTATGTTGGTGTTTTTGTACTTACGCAAAACCGTGATGAATTTCTGGTTATCCAGCATGACCCATAGTCCAAAGCCCAAGATTACAGCTCCAAAAATCTACAGGGCAAAAGAAACAGGCATGACAAACATAAAGGACATGTTGCATTTATGTTTGTCACCTTCTTGACCCGTTTGGTTCCTCAGAGCTGATCTTAGTTTAAACTGTGACTGGACTGTGGATGAGAGAATTGTGCTTCCATTAACATACAATAGATAACTGCTAAAGAGATACAGGAACTCTCTACCGAACTGAGTTCTCATGCACTCCAGCCCCAAAGTTCAAAACTAATGGGTCCAAGGTGTCCTCTAAATTAACTGGATCAGAGAAGTTTCATTTCCTCTTGTCAGGGGGCAGTTCCCCTGTATCAGTCTGGCGTCTGTGGCTTGTCCTCTATTCCACTGTGGAGAGGAAAGCAGTAAAACACCAGGCTACTGTACAATTAAAGGGTCTTCAGAAGGAAAAATCAGAGAGAGGCACACACATGCTTTTCATTAGCCTTTGACCCTTAATATCAAAGACACAACAGGTCAAACTGAAGGTTTCCAAAGAAATGCAACAGAAAGCAGGCCTGCTTCCTTACTAAGCTTGAACAATTTCCTAACAGGGATTTCCTACATACACCTACATCACACTGCTGGGTATAGTATATGTTAATATACTGTACTATACTAAATGTCTTCAATATACTATACTAAATTCAATAATGCATTTTAATACATTTTATTTTTATTTACATGCCCACACAGACCATGCCCAAATTGGAAATGTGGTAAATAGGAAAATTAGATTCATGTAAATAAATAAATGACTGAACTTAAAAAAAAATATATGTATATGGAGTTTCAACTCATATTATTAAGTGAATATTTAACCTTTGGTTCTAAAAGCCTCGATAGCTCATACTCACTGTTGAGCTACTTGTTACATATGCATAAATACAGTTATATTATTACAAACACTTCTAAATAAACAATTGTAAAAAAAAAAAAAAAAAAAATTTACCCCAAAAACA